AGGACAGCTAAACTAAAGCAAGGCTTGTTTAAATAGCCACTAGGTAAGGTGTTACAAGTCCCCAATGTGATAGAGAGAAAGTGTATTTCACTATGTGGAAGTTAAGAGCCTGTTGAAGTCTATCTGAGTGTGAATCTCAGCTCCATTCTGTCTAGTTACATAATGTCTGGCAAATCATTTGGACTCTCTAAAATTCAGTTTTCCCCTCTGAAAGCAGGAAGTAATTATAATAGTTGCTTTATGGAGTTATTATGAGGCAAAAGGATAAATAAGTCATAAGCATGCTAGGCACAGTGCCTGATGCAGAATACACACTCAACTAAAGCAGCCTTTTATTCTTGTGACTCATCTGGGTGTTGTTATTCCTTCCCTTGATAATTAGGAGTAGAGTATATTTTGAATGTGGTAGTGAATGCTGGAGGACAAGCCTGAAGAAATCCTGCACTGATGCAGGTCTAAGCCTCTTAGTTTCAACTGTCTTGTTCCGCCAATAAATTATAGAAGTCTTATTCCTGATTAGAAATATTATTGCTCCAATGATTATAAAAACTTTGAAAAGAGAATTATACTCATGTACATTTATGCTTCACATAGTGGACAATTGATCAATAATTGCTGAGTCAGGAATTTCTAGTGGGCACTGTAAACTTTCAACAGTTTCCTATGCAACTGAGAATAATTGAGAGTAACTGTGTTTAAACAATATAAATGATATAAACTGTTAAGAAAAAATTTACTATTACATATTCTAATAGGCTTCAAGCAAAATTATTTTCGCACGATGTTGAAAAATAGATTTTTGAACAAGAATAAAGCACTTAGTAAACATAAAGTGGTAGATAAATGCCAGAAATATGCAAAATTTACAAAGGAATGTTTTGAGTAGTCTCTCATCTATCAACAATACACATCATTATACATTATAACTTAATGGTGCTTTTCATTAAACACCCTGCTTCTTTGAAAAATGACAACATTATAAGGTTAAACTCCCAGCGTAGAGCAGATCTGGTGATGTGTGCTAATTAACTATTTTTTAATCAGTGCACTCAAAAAGAAGGAAGCGAAAAAATGTCTTGCCTGCTTCTCAATTAGTGTATTTTGCTCCTTGCCATTTGTTCCCAACTGTCTGTTTTGACTAAACCTTGCATTTCTCTTGCGAGCTTTATTTTTCCTCTTAATGCTGGTTTAAATTAACCTTTTCTCTTCTGTTGTTAGCAATACAACACAACAGTTTTTTTGTTTTTTTTTTAATTTTTTTTATTTTTTTATTTTTATTTTTTGAGACGGAGTCTCGCTGTGTCGCCCAGGCTGGAGTGCAGTGGCCGGATCTCAGCTCATTGCAAGCTCCGCCTCCCGGGTTTTTACGCCATTCTCCTGCCTCAGCCTCCCGAGTAGCTGGGACTACAGGCGCCTACCACCTCGCCCGGCTAGTTTTTTGTATTTTTTAGTAGAGACGGGGTTTCACCGTGTTAGCCAGGATGGTCTCGAACTCCTGACGTCGTGATCCGCCCGTCTCGGCCTCCCAAAGTGCTGGGATTACAGGCTTGAGCCACCGCGCCCGGCAACACAACAGTTTAATGTTGGGAAACTAAATAACCACATATATGAAAAACAAGTTATTCATAGCTAGCCCAAGCACATGACAAATGATTGTGCAATGGAAATGCATTTTATTTGCTGTAGCATTTTCATTAGTTTGAGTATTGAATCAAATTGAAAACCAAAGAATAAAACTATCTCATATAATCAAAGATCGTTTTTATTGCAGTGACTATTGCCCCTTTTCCTGTCATGTCTTCTGGCTAATATAAAATCATGTACTGTTATACATAAATGGAGATTTGTGAAATTGCAAAGCTTGTTAACAGTAACTACTTTCTTAGTTTGAGATCAACCAACACATACTTTCTTTTCCTTGACTATATTTTTGACATACTCCTGTCATTCGGTAGAAGAACATTTGGATGGAAAAGTCTTAGAAACTGGCATCATATTTTGTATTTTACATTCTTTTTGACATAATGAACAATTTCCCCCTCTTTTGCTGAAATCAGCACTGGAAAAGATCAAATGCAGCAAAGTCTTTTAACAGTTTAAAATTGCCCCTGTCATTATCTTGTCAGTTACATGAGACCTTGAATGTGCAGGGCTATGGAAATCTTTCAAGACAAATTTTCTAGAAGCAATGCCAGGGATAACTGTTTGTAAAATCTAAGAATTCTAATCATTAGAAAGTATGTAGATACCAAAAGTATTAGTTAATGATGGCCAGAAAGCACTGTGACTTGGTTTTCCAAGCATGGTCACTCAAAGAGAGTTTTGGCAACTCAGTCTCTTTATCACATTTTATTTTTATCATCCTCAACTTTTTCTTCATGTCCACCTATAGTTTTAATAACCTGTTCATAAGGCACTCATCTCCATTAAACATGGATTAACCTTTTTTCCTTCAGACTATTCCATCTATGTTACCTTTGCTATAATTGCTGGAGAAAATAAACAGGATTTTGAGATAGAGTGAGGATAAGTTCAGAATCTTCATAATATTTACTTGTTATGTGATCTTAGACAACTTCTTCTCCTTAAAACCCATGCCCTCTTTCTACCTGGCACAATTTACATGCTCAGTAAATAGTATTATTTCTAGTTTCTAAGTCTGATCAAAATTCAGAGTTCCGTGTTACTAACCTGCTTTTGAAAATGTGCTGTATGTAATATAGTACATTTATATACACTTACATTTCCTTCAGTTAATCTAAGCTCATATTACAGCTATCACTTCTCTAGTGATACCTCAGCAAGTAGATTTTTTAGCTTGATGAATCCATTTCTACACTTCCACATCTGGAAAAATAAGTTTACACTTAAAAGACTAAATGTTGTCTCAAAATCCAAACACCAATAGCTCATGTTTTACTTCCAAGTCAATATGCTTCTCGACTTCCACAAATGTGTTAAGTAACACTATTATTGTTCTCTTGTTTGCCAGAGTTCTTAGGAGCAAGACTTCAGATTTTTATTTTTCCTTTGTCTCCTATATTAACTGTATTGTTCTGTAATGTAAGGCAGCCTGTTCTTGCACGCTATCTCCTGGATGACTACAGTCACCTTTGCATTCAATGCTACATTTGTCTGGATTTTCATCACTGTGGATCTAATTTAGGGAAATCGTCTTGTAATCACTCATCTTCATCTCATTGAACTTTTTCTGCATTCAAACATTGGGCAGTTTTTCCAATTTACCACTTTCATTATTTAATTATCTTGCTTAATACCTATTAATAATAATTATACCAATTTTTAACTTGTGCGAATAATTAGTAGGTAATATCTTAATGTGTTCATTCAGGAAATTCCTTTTAAAGACACTCTGTGCCAGGAGCTGGGGACAGAGAATAAACAAGATACATTGTCTGTTTTAAAGAGCCCACAGTATTTTGGAGAAGACCAGTAACTGTTAGATTTTCAAAAGATAACATATCATCTACTAAGGGAGCACCTGGTGGGTGAGAATGAACTGGTCATTGCTAACCAAAGACAGCTTCTTACTTCTAAATAATATATTTTTAATATTTTTTACATCCTTGCATGAACTAAAATCAAACTCCAGAATTATATAATTTATCATATTTTATTTCAAGCTATAAGTTATTGAGTGTTTACTATCAACTAGGTATTAACTCTCTTCAAATCTTAAGTAATTCAACATTTGTAATAACATTATGAAATATAAAATACTGATAACCTTTTACAGAAAAGAGATGGAGGCCATAACAACTAAAATAGCTGTTCGATTTAACCAAGTAATAAATATCAGAAATTACATTCAAATTTAGGTCTACATAATTATAAAGTTTACTCTTAAACCTAACAAGCTTGCTCACCTACCATGCCTTTCTGTTCTCTTGCTTCTGTCTAAGCCATATCTGTTTCACATGCCACCCTGTCCAGGAATCCTGAAATTCTTAAGTGGCATTGATTTCTCCATTCTCTATTTGACTTCATATTATTTGACAGATTTGAGAGAGATTGGTGGGCACAGAACTAGTAATTTACTCTATTTTGGAAAATATTAAAAGCAGGAATGAGCTTGAAGCAACTCTGAAAACAGAGCAGGTAGAAAGAGACAGCATAAGAGCAATTTACATCCCACCAGTGGAACACATAGGCAAATGGCTATGCTGGGTTAGACGTAGGCTCCGTGGAATGTACCCGAGGCTAGAGTCATCAGAAAAGGACACCTTCACCAAAAGATTCACGCAAAAAAATGAGGTGTTTCCAACATAAAGAATCTGTACAAAGTAGACCACTGAGATCCAAGGACTGAGATGGAGGTCAGAGGTCAGATGTCTAGCAAAAGGAAAGTCAGGTGGTAAATACCTCCAAGAATAAACACTACACAAACACAGCACACACATACAACACACACATACACACACACACACACCCCAGAGGAGAAAGAAAGAGCCAATATTTAAAATTCTGTCATGTTTGAGAGCGTTCCACAGCTGGGATAGTATTGGCAATGCATCTACTATATAAATATTGTTATGGATTCTTAATTCCTCATTTCCCTACACCTCTAAAATATACAAAGATCAACCTTGCAGAAGAGAGAAAGAGCAGCTAATGAGCAGGGGGAATGCAACGTGAGAAAGAGAAATCAAGGCTGATAATGCGTTTTTCCTACTGGAGGCTTCTAGACCTGAGTCAGGCCCAAGCGTGGGAAGAAGATATTAATAGTGTAGGATGATTTGAGACTTGGATTGACCTGAACTTCTGAATGCCTGAAAAATCAGATTATTAGTTCATATTTAATGGTGGCCATTAAAGCTGAGATTTGGTGCAGATTTCCTCTAGGGTTGGGAACTGAAGATTCAGAAGAATGAGTTTATTTGAGATAGTGACTCAGCAGATACTAATATTTGTGGTTTTTATCAAGCTTCAAAGAGTTTAAGATTTTCTTTTCTAAAAGGCTCCTCTTTAATTTGTTTCAGAGAGGCAGGTTTGTTTTCCTTAAATTGGAGGTCATCATGGACTGGGGACTGGCAGTGACTAAGGAAACATGAAGATAAAGGTATGCAGATTGAGGTAGCATGTTCTTCCAGAATTAGTTGGGCAAAGATATGTGTTTTTCCATAGATCAGCAGTGACTCTGCAAGAGAGAAAGCTGGTATGGGATTGTCCAGTGTCCTGTCCAAAAGATTCAGAGAGACTCCAACATCAAGAAAGCGGTGGTGAATGCCAAATTACTGGGAACTGATAAAGCAGACTAAATAGATATGTATCTACTCTGGACAAAAGAAGTATAAGAAACAGATGTCCAGAGATGGGACTCTCTGAAGAATCCATGAGAAAGAGACTATTTTAACCACTATCAGGCCAGGAGAGGATACAGCCAAGCAATCCATATCTCATCCCTTCCCCACCTACAATGAGAAAAGACGTAACCAGGAAGAGAAGACAAAAAGAACTATATGTCTTTCTCAAATGCCAAGAGCTAACAGTTTCAGTCCTTCACATTGGGAAGAGAATGTGTTTGCTGGGAGATTTCTTGTAATTAAATGACTATCAATTACCATCTTCAACAATATAATATAATTTCTGATTGGGGACCTGGTTTGCATCATAAAGAAATAATAGTATTGCCTACTTTCAATAATTTGGGAAGCTTTTTGAAGTTTCCATTCAGTGGCATGGGGGTTACACTCGTGAATAAATTTTAAAGGGTCAGTGAGACTGTAAATAAATACAAAAATAAATAGAATTGTATTTCACTCTCATTCTGAGACTTTTGTGTTTACACTGGAATAGCAGTGATCTGTCATTATGCCACATTTTTTTTCTGTTTTCAATGCCCTGATTTCCTCTCACTCACCACTGACCTATGCCTACTTTATATATGATGAGGTACCTTCAGTCACTTTCTAATGAGCTTGGCAATATGTGGTCTTAGGCAGAGACTTTTTCAGTGTTACTCAAAGTCTGCTGTCAAAGGTTTCACAGCTGGCCACATGGCAAACGCCCGTATTTCTACTATCATCAGTGAAAGAGTGGCTTATTTCCTTTGAGACTTTTCAGGCATGAACTAAGTACAGTTTTCTTTGTCCCCTTAATTTTGGAGCACGCATGTAGGTTTTCATAATTATTCTTTTAAAACATTGCTGTTAACCTTTTTCATACTCAGTGACCACTTTTATAGATCCTGGGGTTGAATAATTGACTAAATGTGGTTGTATTTGGTACAGGATCTGATAGCACTTGTAATTCCCAAACTGTGGGACTTTTGTAAGGAAAAAAAAAAAGTTGTTACTGATACAAGGACTTAAAGGCTCCTGTATATCTTTCTGAATTTATTTCTTACTACTGTAATTTAAGTTATTTCACACAGTCCCACTAGATTTACTTTTTCCTGGAAAACCTCAATCATGCTTCATCAGGGCTTGAGGTTTTTTGGATGCTTTTGTCTGTAATGTTCTTCCACTGGGTCCTTAATTAAGTGTCATACTTACATCCTGTGAACAGGGATGGCCCTCAGAATCTCTTAATTCTAAAGATGGAAGCCAGATTTGGTTGAGGTTACTGTAAGGTGCCCAATGTCACCCATTAAGGCTTCTGACTAAAGAGCCAGAACTACATGTCAGATGTGCTTAATTATATTCTGTGACTGCATTCAGAGATAACAAGTCAATACCTGAATGAGATTTAGCAAGAACTGATGACAATGTGCATATATAATTTTGTACCATGAAATTCATATACGTCTTTGAATATAAAAAGGCACATTTACATTTATCCCTTCTCTTGATTCTGACAGAATCAGTATCTAATTAGTATCTACATTTAGCAGAAGAACTTGAGGCCAAATGTAGTTAGCGACTTCTCCAACGTCAAACAAAATGTAAGTAGTGGAGGTGGAACAGGTTGCTTCACTTGAAATCTCATGTTCTTTCCATTTCTAGCTGGGCTGACATAGAATTCATGAATTTATTCTTGACATACCAGCATATTTGTCCCAAATATTATAATTTGGGTTGAGAAACTAATAATTGAAGAAAAACTATAAAATCCAAATAGAAGACCTCAAACTCCTTTTTTTTAAGGCCCATGGTAATCTTTTTTATCCCAAAAAGGTGCACATATGCAAGGATATTGTAATCAGAACAGCCAGTGGAATTGATGCACTCATTAAACTCCTCAAGCGGAGAGCAATATAAACTAACACAGTGGAAATAAGGTCAGTGAACATAAGGACTGAAACACCTTACAAAGGGAAATTGGTGTGCAGACTTGAAATCCTCATTTTCTACAGCTTGAGAACATGGTGTCTAGCTGCTAGTTTAGATTAGTGCTCTGTGTCTGTGGTCATGGCATTCAGAAGGTGAGAAGATCACAACTGGATAAGTCAGTAAAAGGCACAGATGTGTCAAAAGAATAGGTTAGATGTTAATAAAAGTACTCATTCTCCAATTACCAGTTGTTTTCTTCTGTTCTGGTACTCCTTATAAACTAAAATCCCAACTTGCTACTCCTCACCCCCTGAAATACTGGCCACTGGCCACAAACACACACAGACACACACACACACACACACACACACACACACACACAGAGCCAACTCTGTATATGAATTATAAATACATGGGCACCCTGTGGTGAGGGGTCGACATAATATGAAAAGTGTTTTGTGATTTGTAAAGTGTTAGAAGTTTTAATTCGCGAATGGTTCCACCCTTCTACAAAATGTATTAGGTAGCTATTAGGTGCTGCACACTCTGATATCACTGGGAAAGGAGAGGTTTCAAATGAGCTTCCTGCCCTTAAGGGGTCTACTGGGTGAAACAGAAGAAAATTGCAGAAGAGTTTGGCAAAACTTCAAGAGTGATATGAACAATGTGCTGTAGGAGCACAGATTTACCCCTAAGGGGATGAGAGAGTTGTCACTGACAGGCATCGTTTGAGATGAGGGATGGCTAATGATAGGACCTGGATGTACTGGGAAGCAGGGAATACCCAGTAGCAATAACAAAGGCAAAGAGTTGTGAAATATCATCATATGTGCAGAGATTAATGAATTCTGTGTGATTGTGACATGGGCTGTAAAGATCGCTGATGAACCTGGAGAAGCAAGTGGTAGCCAGGCTGCAAAGTTCAATAGACCACACTGCAAAAGTTACGCTCTGCTAAGCAGAAACTTACTGATCTTCCAGAAAGGGAGCTATTTGATTATGTTTGTTATTTTATGGTAACTGGGGAAAATAAAGGGAACAATGATAGGAATGGGAGAAGACTAGTTGCAAAGAACTAACTTTAAAAATCAATCCATATGAATTTTATTATTGGAAACATTCTAAGACCAACTCCCCAAATGATCTCTTATGCCTTCTTCAATTTTGCAGATATTTTATTGGAGTAAGGCTTAGGTTTAGGGTTGATCTATGTTACAATGTGAATATTGACAGGTATTGTAGCAGTAGAAAACCAAATTGATCTCTTTGAGTCTCAGGTATCTCACTTGCAAATAAGGGTTTTAGGCCAAATAATTTCTGCAGACCTGCTTGTTCAAATATTTTATAAGTTACAGTTTTTTAAGGGAACTTAGCACAGTATCACAAATTGTTGTGCAGGTTTATTTAAATACACCTCAGGAGAAATAGATTTTGTCTGTGGGCACGTGAGCGGAGCACAGTGAGGACAGCTGAGTAACAATGTCTTGTCCTATCTTCAATTTTGTGCAAGAAGCTAACAGAAAATGAAGAATACCTTCCACTTTGGAAAATTCATATTCTTATTAAAAATAAATAAAACTATGCATTTTCATTCAAATAGTTGTACTGATCTCAAGCTGATTTTCCTTAACAATGACTTCTTCCTAGGATGGTCCAGTTAGTTACAATCATATAGAACATCATCTTATGAATAAGAGGGCTTCACTAGGATTCAGATTAGATTCTAAGCTTTACCTTTGAGGAGATGGGTGTACTTTAGAGCTGTAATTTTATGATTTCTCCTTAGTACATTGTGCCTCAATTTGCTCAATTGTGAGATAAGAATGATGTCTGCCATACCTAATTTCAAGAGTGGGTGTCTTTGTGAATATACCTTGAGAAAATGCCGAAAGTCTTAAGTTTTTATTACTGGTAAAATTTTCACAGTTCTGTACTTTTTCCCTGGAAAATGTCAAGGCATCAGGGAATCACATAAGGGAATCAGATACAAGTTACATACACATAAGGGAATCAGATACAAGTTAGAGATACAAGGGAATATGTTAGATATAATTAGTGCCCACAAAGACTTTCAGAATTCTTCACCTTTCTTCTACAAGCTTTCTTAAGTCAGCAGGATTGTGTGACCTACTGTGAGCAAAGAAATTAATGGGGAAAAGTTTGTGTATCACTTCCATCCCAAGCACATCCTTCCTTAGGCAAAACCCACCAGCATTTTCTTTCTCTGCTACATCATTCGAGAAAGTCTCATGTTCCAGATGACACGATGACGAAAGTTGCATGGCCAGCTGCCACGTAGCAGCGTGAACAGTAACCTTTTAGGGTTAGAAAGTGGCCTGGATCATCAGAAACATTTGTGTAAGCTTAAAAAAATACCAAGAATATTTTGATTTCTTTCCACATTAAACCAACATGACCTTACTCTTGCCTATTCTAAGAGATATTGGGATCCTTTGAGAGCCCAGTTAGTTTGCCTAATTTTCTAAGTGAGAAACTGATTTCCAGAAATAAATAAATAAATAACTGTAAAGTCACATGTCTACCTAGGAGTAAATTTATAACCAACAGTAATATCTGTCTACTAATCTACTGGCTTTTCGCTGATGAAGAACTTATAATTTCTTCAACACAGTCCTCTTACAGTTTAAGATAAAAAAATATTTTGTTATAAGGCTTGTACCACATGTTTCATAAAACAGAAAATATATACTATTGTGCATGTTTTAAATATAAGAGAACTTATTTAACTACAATTTTCAAAGCAATCATTTATCAGAGAGGACATTTCTGTTTGTATTCAACCATAAACAAAGCCAAATGAGTATCAAACTCCTTTCACTGGTCTCATTTACATGGTGCTTCAAACTAACTGGGAAAAATAAACTTAATGTTACATATCATTTGACAGATACCAAGTGAAGTAATTAATGATTCAGCATCAAAGCAGGAGGAAATGATTTGTTTGACTGTAATAAGCTGAGAAATATATATATATATCTATCTACTAAAGTAAAAATTAATGTCTTACTAAAGTTCCAGAATTAATATGATGTATTTTCACTTATGCTAAAGTCAATAGACATGAATCATCATTTTAAATTAAATCCAATGTTGTTGTGCTATTTTAAAGTTTTTTTAATATGCTTTAAGAAAACTTGGTTTGATATACCAGCATTTTGGCTGGATTAAGAATTAAACTAGATTTATCAAAATTGCCAACTTTAGAGTCAAATCTGCTGAGATATTATCACCATTTTCTAATAAACCTTAGATGATATCTTGCTGCTAAAAATATAATTAATCAGAATGATAATTATAATAATGTTTTATCTGAAATGTTCTATATGTATTAATGAAAGTGAATAAAGTAAGACTCTTGTGATAACTTTTAACTTACTCTGTTTCAATAAGTACCCCACTTATTCTTCTTTGAAAATATAAAGGTCAGAAACCCTCTTGTATTTCTTGAGTAATAAAAATTATTTGTCCTTATCAGGTCTAAGACACCAATCATAACTGCTATTGTTTTAAAATTTCATATATTAACTTGAAAACTGTGGATTAAAATGTGGTGCTTATATAAGCAAAGCGTACATGCTCTGATTTATAGTTGAAATAAGTACTCTACTAAATCCATCTGTATATTTTCGTTGTCTTATCCAGATGTTAAAATTGGAGGAAAAATCTCTAAATTTTCTACCTTGCTAAATCTAAGAATTTGAAAAGTTGTAATAGAAAGTTAGTAACTCTGTTTTCTTGCTGTTTTTTTCTTTTTCTCTCCCCCCTTTTTTCTCTCTTTCATCTATCATGTATGTATAAATATATATATTATTTTCATATTTTTAAAATAACTGTTGTGTGCTGCCCCTATTGTTCTTAGATATGATTAGCTTTCCATCTGAAAATACAATGTTCAATAATTCCTCTGTGGTTCTTCACTTTGACACATGCACTCTTAGAAAAGTGTGCTATATAATCAGACTCTGTGCTAAATAATCTATAGAACAAAGATGTCTTCTGTAGGACATTCCAACGCCACCAAGGCTGAAGTTCATGGAGTATAAAGCGCTTTTCTTTCCTCAGAAGACTAACACACAAAAATCAACATTGAATGAACTATTTACGTGTAAATCTTATTCAAGCATAGTTCTCCCAGGAACAATCATTGAGATTCTTTGTACACGTTTCTGCAGGCAATATATTAAGGCCAACTAGTTACTAAAGTTGTCAATTTCTTTACCTTGGCAGAAAAATACCAGAGGTAAGATATCTGTTTAAAAAAATATCCTGAAGCAGGAGTTATGTTGTCTTAAACTATTTCAATGTCCCTGTGGATCTGCATATAATGATACCTCATTTACTTAGTTCTCTAGTAATGAAGCTACATTATAACAGTCACCTGACAGAAAGAAAGAAAGAAAGAAAGAAAGAAAGAAAGAAAGAAAGAAAGAAAGAAAGAAAGAAAGAAAGAAAGAAAGAAAGAAAGAGAAGGGAGGGAGGGAGGGAGGGAGGGAGGGAGGGAGGGAGGGAGGGAGGGAAAGAAATAAAATAAAAGAAACCAGCACATTTTTTTAGAAATTAAATAGCCTGGGAGTTGAGTAGATTGAGGGAGTGTAAGGAGTGGTATTTTTTTTCTACTTAATGCAACTCCTGACATATAACACCAAGGAAATATACCTGGAAATCTAAATAGCTCAAAATCAGCTTCCAGATGTTTAGCAAAGCAGAAAGCCTAAACTCCACAACACAAGCAGTTGCAAAGCCTCCTAAAGTGACACAGTTCACCTGAAGATGAGAAGTGCTCAGAATCCAGAGTCCTCACCCTGTCTTCTCATCTTCAATACTCAAAACCATTATTGCTTCAAAGACGTAAGTAAGCATTACTCACATAAACTTTACCATATCTCAATTTTAATATTTGTATTATTTGTAACTCACATAGTTCTATCAAACCATAAGACATTAGTATATAATCACTCTACGGTTGACAGTGAAAATCAATCACATTTGATAATCTGGGTAACAATAAATAATTCTGTGTAGAGTAAAATGTAATGCGTTTAGAATCAGATTTTTCTTTGAATTTCCCTCTGGTAGAAACTGAAAAGCGTTTACTTAAAATTCTTCATGCTCCGTTTCTACCTCGGGAAAATTGGTATAATAAAAGTTACCTAAGTTTTCTTTTTTTAAAAACATTTATGGAAAAAAAATCTGTATAAAGTTTTACTATTGTTATCAGTATCAGGTTCTCTATGCATTGTAACAGTCTATATATATATACACACACACACACACACATATATATATAAATATATAAATAATAAGTGGCCTCCTTTTTGGACTTAATGAAAGCTTATGAATCTGGGCAGTGGTTGAACTGTTTTCTGCATGTCAGGCAGAATTCTAAGAATATTCAGCAATAGCTTCAGTCTTGAGTAAGCCCCTCCCTTTGGAATGTGTCTGGCACTAGTAAATACAATGGAAATTGATTCCTGTGATTATATTGTGTAATATCATTGAACTTAAGATAGGAAAATCATCTAGGTGGGCCTGACGTAGTCGGATTAATGCCGATCAGTGGGTATAAAATTACAGTTTTTGTGAGATTGATAAATTCTAGAGATCTGCCGTAATGCATTATCTCTACAGTTCATAATACCTAATCGTACACTTGAAAATGTTCAGCGAGTAGATCTCATCTTCACCATTCTTAACACAATTAAACAAATTATTTTTAAAAGCGGAGAATGTTCTCTGGCTGATGCTAGCAGGGGAATGGGAAATGTAAACCTAAGAGTAGTAATGTTAAAACACTGGTAAGTAATGAATTCCTCTAAATTCCCCTGACTCATATTCCTCTTCACTGTAAAATTGCAAAATTTTTCACCAGCCAAAATCACCTAAGTCTCATTCATGTAACCAAATCAAAGACCATCACATAAAAATTAAAGAGTGAGTTAAAAGCTGTGTGTGGTGTCTCATGTGCTGCATATATCCTTAAAAATAGTTTTGAGATCTATATTTAGAAAGGTGCACTGATTTTTCACGTACTCCTCCTGGTTGTGATTTAGGCTTGATAAAGATTGATTATATGCATGATATCTGTTTTTTCCTTCTGTGGATCCTCATCTTAGTTATTTTAAGCCCTTATTTTCCCTTTCAAATTAAACTGAGAGTATGCTGGGTTTATCTTTTATGTCCAGTCCTATAAGTTTACTTTGTTATTTCTAGCAAATACTTTTTTTTGTTTTTTTGCAGGGGGTGACGAGGGGTAAATACATCCCTCTGCAACAAAGCCTTCTGGAAATCCTGGTAAGGATGTAAGATGTTCACTTGTGGTTTTTATAAATCTTTATAATTACCTTGTGAACAATGCAAAGAAGTAACTTTCTATTTCAGGAGACAAAAAGTTTAGGTAAAGTTCAGAAAGGCCTCACATATCAAATATAAGACTTGCAAGGAACCTAAATAAACCTTTTGATTTCGGCTTTTCTTATTGTAAAATATGACATCATATCGGTTTACCAATGTTGCAAGGGAATTTCAGAGAGGTTAAATCAGACTTTTCACTGCTGCTGTATCATTTGATGTAAAGAGTAGAAAGTAGAGGATAGAAATGACATACTGTGATTATTTAAAAAAAAATAATCTGCAACAACACACAGAAAATTCAGAAGCCTGTGCCATTGTGGCAGTATTTAAAACAATGTGATGAACATCTGTGTACCTATCTTTTGCAAAATCCTGTGCTAAGTACAGAGAATAGTAAGATAAAGATGAACACAAATAGACCCTTGTTCCAACAAGTTCATTGGTATTAGGATAAAATAAATCAGCATGATGACTCAATTATTTGATAGCAAGTGATAAATGACCTGCGAGAGAGAAAACAGGCAATAGGTTCAGAGTTAATTTGGAACAATTCTTGCTACAGTGGCCAGGAAAGGACTCAAAGGAAAAGGAAAATTTGGTATAGTGCCATGAAAGTTGGAAAAATAATAAATAGAGAAGAATGAAAGTACCCATGAACAAGTTAACTTCTTGACCACTATCTCTATTTACGTAGTAAAGTATTAGATTCTTCAGGCTAATGTGTCACTTAAGGAGAAAGGCTTTTCATTGACAGGAATCATTATAATGAAATCATGTTTTCTGATTTCTGAATAGTCTGGCTTAATATTTATGATATCTTGTGTTTATTTTTCACACAACAATAATGTTTCTCCTCTATTTCCAGAATAAGAAGTCTGTGAAACTCATCATGTAACAATGATGACAATAATAATACCAAACAAGTAGCATGGATTTACTACACACCAGCCTTTCTTTGAGCTAAGCACTCTACATGAATTCTGTCTTCATGTGTTTAAACAACACCTGGGCTTTGAGAATTTCAAGACTTTAGCAATGTTGATGCTGCAGTTAGGACTCAAATCCAATATTTCTGATAAGAACACAAGGCATGTTCTCACTACTTTTATAAATAAAGCTATTTAATTTGAATACCTGTGGGCCTCTCTGAAAAATGGGTAAACTTAAGAGATAAAAAAAGTTGAAAATAATCCAGTCCAGTGGTTTTCTAACTACTGTAGGGAGCAGGAATGGGAGAAATGCATGGGCAAGAGCCCAGACTGAATCATGTTTCATGACACAGATTTATCCATGTTACTCCCACATGCAAGTCACATCCATTCTCTCCTACGGTTCCCGCAAATCTCATCCCAGTATGTATCAGATCAAAGTCCAAAAATCTCATCATTTAAATCAGTTTCTGGCACAGATAATGTTCCTGAGTGTAACTACTCAAGTACAGTTCCTGGGACAAAAATTCTTATTATTTTCAGACATATGAAGAGCCTCACCACTATGTAATGGCAGGGAAGGCATAGGATATGAGTTAAAAACCATCTAGTTTAATAATTGAGAAATAGGAAGCAAAAATAAGCCCCTATTTAATAACAGATCTGAAATCCATTTAAAATAAGGTTGAAAATTCCTTATTAGAGCCCCAGGCTTAAGAAAAATTCTCTATGGCTCTCCACTCCACCTTCTGTTCTCTTGGTTCTAGCTTCTGAGTCATCTTTCCTTTTATAAAAGTGAGCATGCCCGCCGAGCGTGGTGGCTCACTCCTGTAATGCCAGCACTTTGGGAGGCCTCGAATGGCGGATCACAAGGTCAGGAGATCAAGACCATCCTGGCTAACATGGTGAAACCCTGTCTCTACTAAAAATACAAAAAAATTAGCCTGGCGTGGTGGTGGTCACTGTAGTACCAGCTACTCAGGAGGTTGAGGCAGGAGAATGGTGTGAACCCGGGAGGTGCAGCTTGCAGTGAGCCAAGATTGTGCCACTGCACTCCAGCCTGGGAGACAGAGCCAGACTCTCTCAAAAAAAAAAAAAAAAAAAAAAATGTCAGCTTTTGTTTCCATCTGAGCAGGTGATCAGTGTGCTTTCTGCCAGTAGAATTTTGGGGACTCCACAGCCTCCTTTTATTTTGTACTTTTTCTGTATCATTCAGTCCAACCTTCTGAAATCATTTTCTCAAAGACCTTATGGATCTCTTGTAGATTTCAATGAAGTTTAATTCATTAGGCAAAAGTCGCAGCAACAGTTAATTTTGAGATAATCTCTCCCTACTTGTTCAAATTGCTGAAGGACAAGGCTTTCAATCTTGAGGCTGATTGAGAGACTAAGAGAAGCTTGTTAGTTATGTTATCAATTTATTTATAGATCATTTGTGTGACTAAATATTCTGACCTTTTGATCTTTCTGAGGTCATGGTAAAATATTTTATAGTTGCACCCTTAGGTCTGCTCCATGCCATACTTTTGGAAGACATTTCTGCACTTTAGCTTTCATTGCCTTCTGAAAATAATTTGTATTTTCAAAAACATCAAGATATGGCTTTTTAAACTTCTTTTTAAAGTTATTCTCTCAGATTATCTCTCTCCTTTCATATTTTACTATATCTAGCAAGAAAAATGAAATCAGTTGGTACCTTCCACACTTTGCTTGAAAATCTCCTTAGCTAGATAAATAAGTTCATCTTTGTTGTTGTTGTTGTTGTTGTTGTTGTTGAGACAGAGTCTCGCTCTATTGCCCAGGCTAGAGTGCAGTAGCCGGATCTCAGCTCACTGCAAGCTCTGCCTCCCGGGTTTACGCCATTCTCCTGCCTCAGCCTCCCGAGTAGCTGGGACTACAGGAGCCCACCACCTCGCCCAGCTAGTTTTTTGTATTTTTTTAGTAGAGACGGGGTTTCACTGTGTTCACCAGGATGGTCTCGATCTCCTGACCTTGTGATCCGCCCATCTCGGCCTCCCAAAGTGCTGGGATTACAAGCTTGAGCCACCGCGCCCGGCAATAAGTTCATCTTAACACATTTTTCTATTCACATAACTGCAAGAGGCAATTTTGGTAAGCTTTCTGTCACTGTATTACAAGGATTCCTCAATTGATTTTTGAACCTCAAGCATCCTAAAGTCCATACTTACACTAACATGTTCAAGGCAACTTAGAATACTCCTCAAAAGTTTTCCAGAATTTTCCCCTTGCCCAATTCTAATGCCACCATCACGATCTTAGATATTTGTTACAGCAGGACCTTCCAAGTACCAAAATGTGTATTAGTTTTAAATTGCTGTGTAACAAATCACCACAAATATAGTAGTATAAAACAGCATCCATTTCTTATCTCATTCTTTCTGTGAGTCAAGAATCTGAAAAAGTCTTACTTTAGTCTTTTGATTTGAATTTCACAAAGTGGCAATTAAAGTGTCAGCTCGGGCCAGGATTTCTTCTGAATTCTAGATTAAAAAAGGATCTGCTTCCCCATTCATGTGGTTATTGGCAGCATTGCACTCTATGCCACTGTAGGATTCACGGTAAACACATTGCTGATTCCTTTAGTTTATTTTGGTCTTTGCTCAGGTGTTACCTCATTATAAAAGGTTTTAGAAATTACCCTATCTAAAACATGCTTCCTAATAGTTTTTATCATTTTATGCTGCTTTTTTTTTTTATTCATAGCACTCACCACTTCTTTCCATCATATTATAGTTTAACTTATGAAATTATTTATCATATATATTTACCTATCAGAAAGTAAATTCTGTTAGGGTAGGGTTTTATTGTTGCTTTGGTGGTATTAGTTCATTGCTTTTGGCCTTACCTTCTAAGAGGATGACTCTCACATTCATATGATTTGACTGTATCTCCACCCAAATCTCATGTTTAATTGTGATCCCAGGGTTGAAAGTGGGGCCTAGTAGGAGGTGAATGAATCATGGGGGTGATATCTAATGGCTCAGTCTCATCCCCCTAGTGGTGTCTCATGATAGAGTTCTCATGAGATCTGGTTGTTTGACAGCGTGTAGCACCCCATTGCCCTTCATGGAATCTCTCTCTCCTGCTGGCCATGTGAAGATATGCCTGCTTCCCCTTTGCCTTCTGCCATGATTGTAAATTTCCTGAGGCCTCCACAGCTATGCCTCCTGTACAGCCTGTGGAACTCTGAATCAAGTGAACCTCTTTTTTAAATTACCCAGTCTCCACTAGTTCTTTATACCAGTGTAAGAATAAATACACAAATGCCATGGACACAAAACTATTTATTGGATACATAAATAAAAATTAGTCTCCCAATTTTGTGAAGCAGGTTCATTTTGCACTGATTACCAACATGTTCAGCAAAACAGAACACTCACACTCACAAGCTACATGAAATTGATTTATTAGTTACAAACACACCATAAGGGACAACAGAAACCTAAGATTCATTGTGAGCTTGTCCCCCAAGGCTGTAAAAAGCATTCTGGGGAAAATGGAGTCTCATCTGTGCATGCCTCATTTGCACCACAGCTGAGGGACACCAGAAAGCAGCCCACCCTAGCTTTTATTTCCTAGGGCAAGTAGCTTGCTGAACTAAAGAAATTAATGACATCCTGTTTCTAGGGGGCATCCAACCAGTCCTCTACCATCTTAAAATATTGCATTCTCAGCGTGTTTTACAATTATTCTTGAGAGTTACAAGCAGGAAATGAGACAGAAATGGGTCAGTCCAAGGCCAGTAAGATAATTTTCCTGCAGATGTCTGGTTAGTGAATTATTAGATTAAAAACTGTAACAAGAAAATACTTAAAAATTTAAAAAAAAGAATGTTCCTGTATTAAAATTAAGTAAATTTAGACAGTTGTATTTGGAGGTAAATTTATAGAAATACATCCCATTATTTTTTAAGGTAGAGTATTACAAATATTTAACAAAAATGGTTAAATGAAGAAGAGACATAAATTATTATTAATAAACCTATTAGTTGTGAAAAAACATATTCGGCCTTTATAAAATATTTTATGTCTTAAAGTACATTCACTATCCTTGAACAAAAGAAAACAACTATTATGTATTCAGATTTTACTAAATTATCTTCCTTTAGCACAAAATACAAAAGATGTACCCAGGAACACAAATGGGTAGTAAGGAGTCTAGAAAAACAAAACAAAACACAAAATTTGCAGTGTCTATCAGCAGGTAGCTAGCATATGAGTTCATTTAAAATTCTTTAGTTTTCTGTATTTTAAAATTTTGTATTAAATTATTATACATCAAAGTTTATTAATCATATATAATACCTAAATACCTATGTTTCCTTCACATTGCACCTAATTTCTGTAGGGCACATATGTCATTTAAACACTGAATTGTACTCATGTATGTATGTATTTGTGTTTATGGATATATAATTGATTCAAAAATCCTGAGACATGATAGCAGATGTAATAATAATTACTGTATTTAGACAACAGCAATTTATTTTACTCTTTTGACAGAGTACAGCATGCCTACCATTCTAAAATTTGAAATTTATTTTATGATATATGAGTATAAAATATTTAGTGTTAAAAAATACCTGCAGCAAACACTTTGAACCTGTGAACTAATAATATAACTTGACAATAAAATTTTTATTAGCCTTTTTTCTAGCTGGTGGTCAACAATATTAATAAGTTCCAGTGTTTTATAGAAGCAATGACAAAAACAATGCATTTAGTGTGCAAATTTCATTCACTTTTCTTTATTAGAGGCTTGTTTAATATTCCAGCTCAAGTGGAAGACCATTCATGACAAAATGGATAGTAAGTAGGATGACACGTTTCCAGTTTGGACTGTTATGCTGTCTTGTTGGATAAACTTTTGACCACTTAACCTGTCTGGTTTTAAATGATTTCCCCTTTTAACAATGGCATCAGACTGGTTGTACTATATATTTCCTTCCTGCTCCATTATTGTAAGCATTCATAGAAATATTTATTCTTTCTGAATTAAATCTTATTTGGCAATTATACTCAATGACTCATGGAGTATAGCTTAAAATAGATTTTTATTTGAAACAGGAAAAACTTGAAACATTCTAGCACAGAACCATACTGGTTTCAAATTACATTTCCATATGGAATTAGGTTACTAGTTTTAGTAAGACATTTCAATATTTTTGGACATATCATCACCCT